CCTGTGGAACAGATTTAGACAACCTGTGCCTTTCTGATACAACACCCGGCATAGTTCCTTCCTCCATTGTATCAGTGTCGCCTGCAGTAGCCATGGCCATTGCAGACCAGCCATCTAAGACAAAACATTTTGGGATGTAATGGCTCATGAAACAACAACGATCTCTTCAATAAATGTTTACTTTCTAGCTCAGTGTCTTTGAACTGTTTTCCCTCATTCACTTCCTGTTACGTCTGTAAATTCAGAGTTTTTTTCAGAGATCAGAAGGTCAGTTTAAAAATAAACGCTCCAACAAAGATCTAAAGCATGAAGCCTGAAACACAAACATTACAGCATCTTCTGACAACATCAGTCCATGAGAGAATTCATTGTGCAATATTTCACATATAGCAGGTCATTACACCAGCGCGCCCGGCATCCTAACTGGCTATGATAGAATATCCGAGCTGATGACGGTTTTCTACAAACGCAGCAAAGCAGAGGCGTGCCTGTAGCATCCAATCAGATTCCAGCTCCAGGCACAACCTTCACTTTAACTTACAACCACTTTAATAGATTATTCATACATTCTAGGACCAAAATACTGTATATCAATAAGAACCACTGGAGCACTCAGGCAGGGTTATTGAATGAGGCAAAGAGTGCCCATTGTGGCAGAACTACCAATCAGGATTTAGGATTCAATTACTGATACTCAGATCTACTGATCATTTGCTGTGGGTTACTGCATCGTCGCTGCTCTTTGCGCTGCCTTATTGAGTATGCGGGAAACAAATGTGCTATATTCAGTTTGCAAATGAAAAAAAACAGGCGTGCCACGGACAGATAATTGGATTTTCCTCTCTTCTGCAATGGGTGGTGCTGTTTAAAGTGGGCCATGCATTCCTGGCAGCATCTTGGAGCATGGACGGGGTTACAGTAAGCTAAGAGTAAGCTCGGATCTAGATAGATAGATAGATAGATAGATAGATAGATAGATAGATAGATAGATAGATAGATAGATAGAGACTGATAGTGGGTCATGCAATCCTGGCACTATCTTGAAACATGGAGAGGGTTACAGTAAACAAAGAATCTGGACTTCCAGGCATCAATGATCCGGAACTATATATACAGTACATATATCTATCTATCTATCTATCTATCTATCTATCTATCTATCTATCTATCTATCTATCTATCT